GGGGACACATGTTGATGTAGAAGAGACATGAAGAAGAGGGGACACATGTTGATGTAGAAGAGACATGAAGAAGAGGGGACACATGTTGATGTAGAAGAGACATGAAGAAGAGGGGACACATGTTGATGTAGAAGAGACATGAAGAAGAGGGGACACATGTTGATGTAGAAGAGACACATGTTGATGTAGAAGAGACATGAAGAAGAGGGGACACATGTTGATGTAGAAGAGACATGAAGAAGAGGGGACACATGTTGATGTAGAAGAGACATGAAGAAGAGGGGACATGTTGATGTAGAAGAGACATGAAGAAGAGGGGACAATGTTGATGTAGAAGAGACATGAAGAAGAGGGGACACATGTTGATGTAGAAGAGACATGGAGAAGAGGGGACCATGTTGATGAAGAAGAGACATGAAGAAGAGGGGACACATGTGATGTAGAAGAGACATGAAGAAGAGGGGACACATGTGATGAAGAAGAGACATGAAGAAGAGGGGACACATGTTGATGTAGAAGAGACATGAAGAAGAGGGGACACATGTTGATGTAGAAGAGACATGAAGAAGAGGGGACACATGTTGATGTAGAAGAGACATGAAGAAGAGGGGACACATTGTGATGTAGAAGAGACATGAAGAAGAGGGGACACATGTTGATGAAGAAGAGACATGAAGAAGAGGGACACATGTTGATGAAGAAGAGACATGAAGAAGAGGGGACACATGTTGATGTAGAAGAGACATGAAAAGAGGGGACACATGTTGATGAAGAAGACATGAAGAAGAGGGGACCTACATGTTGATGTAGAAGAGACAAGAAGAAGGAGGGGACACATGGTCTTGATGAAGAAGAGACATGAAGAAGAGGGGACCAACATGTTGATGTAGAAGAGACATGAAGAAGAGGGGACACATGTTGATGTAGAAGAGACATGAAGAAGAGGGGACACTGTTGAAGTAGAAGAGACATGAAGAAGAGGGGACACATGTTGATGTAGAAGAGACATGAAGAAGAGGGGACACATGTTGATGTAGAAGAGACATGAAGAAGAGGGGACACATGTTTAGAAAATACTTGGAGAAGTGGATTTTGCATAATTGGTCCCCTTTTTTAAAGCACACTGTGGAACACCTGCGCTCAAACATCAAGATTAATTTCCAAATTGCAATATTAGTCTGGTTTATACATATTTGATACATATTTGTTTTTGTATTCTGGATTGTGGGAAACGGTATTTCTCTCTCTCTGTACACACACACTGTAAAGTTGACCTTGAGAGCACGAACGATCGCTCTCAGTAACCTTTCTGAGGCTGATATATAAGCCTCTCTTTGGATGAAGGACTCTGGACTTGTATACTCCTGTCTTTCTGCTCCTGCGTGAGGAACCTCTCCAGTTAAACTCTTCCTCCTCCCTCCAGGTGGAAAAACAAGCTGATGAAGAATCCACGGAGCGCCCTGGAAGAGGGAGACGTGTTTTTGTGTCGTCTTTTACGCGGGGATGGATCTGCGGCTGACAGGCCGTGTGAAGGCCAGGAGAAAGGAGGTGGACTACTGGCCGCTGCGCACTTTGAACCTCTGCTCTCTGAGACTGTCAGAAGAAAGAAATGACTTTATTTCCCCGCTCACATCTCGACTCCAGTTAGTGAGCCTCCTCTCCTCTGAAACTCAAACTGTCCGTGTTGCATTCACAACCCAACCGGTAGATTAAAACGCTGAGCCCTCCATCTTCTGTCTCCTCGTGTTTCTTTCTCGGAGAACTGAAAGCAGGGTTCCTACGGTCAGTCAAAACCTGGAAAAGTCATGGAAATGTAACTAAAGTTGCATCAAATATCATTTATATTTTATCTAATCGCCGAAATAGTAATACTATAACGATAATAAATACTGTATAGTAATGAAACGTAAAATGGCTTTTAACTGACAAGGTGTTTTGCTGGTGAGAGACTTGAGTTGCTTTAGCTGAAGAAGCTATAAGCCTATTTGATTTGTTTGAGATCGCTCAACATGTTTCATATGCAGACTTTATTTTCCTGTTCCATGTTAAAATAAACCATTTTCAGAGAGTAATGTTTTGGTCATTGAAAAGTCATTGAAAATCATTGAAAATCATTGGTGAAAAAGTGTGTGAACCCTGGTTTTTGCAAAGTGTCGATTTTAAGCTGCTAGAAACTGAGTCGCGTGTGCAGATGAGTTTTTCCACCTAATTATTAATACATTCTCAAAATTCTGACATTTTTCCTGACATATCTGACTTTCTTCTTAAAAATGTGTTTCCTTAAAAAATCTGTAATTTTTCTTGATTTTTTTCTCAGAATTCTGACTTTTTTAGATTCATATTTTTTTCTAAAATGTCTGACTTTCTTACTTTTTGTCCAAATGTTGACATTTTTCAGGATTCTGCTTTTTTTCCCCTCAAAATTCAGACTTTTTTCAGAATCTTCCTTTTTCCTCAGCATTCTGGAAAAAGTAAAAATTCTGCAATTGTTCTCAAACATCAGACTTTTTTCTTATAATTCTGAATTTACTGAATTCTGCCTGTTTTCAGAACACTGAGAATACTTTTCTCAAACTGTCAGTCGCATGTGGAGGTGATGTTGTACACCGTGGTTGTGGTCGAATTGTAAAAAAAAAATCTTGCTTTTATCGTCTTTTCCTAACCACTATTCCTCAACCTCTGTGAGAAACGTCATGGGGTTAAGGCAGTGGTTCTCAAACTTTTTCTGTCAGGCTTTGGAGAAAAAAAAAAAGTCTGGCCCCCTAACACAAATAGTCAGGCTCAGTGGCGGCGCCAGAGATTTATTTTGGGGTGCTGTGGGGTAGCTTGACGTTTCATAGAGGGTGCTCAAACATTTAGGGTTTCCCATTAATGTACCAGGCGCTACAGAGGAATGTTCTTCTGCAACACTCCCCACGCACACACACAACGTCCCCACGACTGTTACAATGAAGGCTCGATAATCAGCTCACGGCATATAGGTATAACCAGGTGCTATTTTTATAGGTGGTGTGTAATCACCCTTTTAAACTTTATTCTTGTTTTAGTGTCATATAGTATTTCATACCTGTTTTTAATGTATTCTCTTATTTTTTTATAACTATAATGATCATATAAACGTGTGCCTCGGAAATAATTGTTTACATTAATGGTGACCAAACCGTTTGAGACCCACTGAGATAACACTGAGAGGGTCCTTTAGCTCACTGAGCCTCTCAGTCTGACAGGAGAGGACTCTCCTCCACTTTGTTGTTGAAAAAACTCCTTATATCCGTTAGTGTAGCTCGCTAGCACCAGAAGCTAACAACAACGATCTCCGGTACCGGTGCTCTCTCTCTCTCTCTCTCTCTCGCTCGCGCACACAAAATGGCTCGTTCCACACACACGGAACCGAGCTTTAATGAAACACAGAGACCCAGACGTAATAGTACTGCATCATATTATTTTCAAATCAATAATTTTTCAATTTATGATTTTTTTCTTTTTTTTTAAATAACCATTTTTCCTCCTGGCGCCCCCCCTAGCATGCCTCTGCGCCCCCCAGGGGGGGCGTGCCCCCCACTTTGAGAACAACAAGGGAAGGTGATAGGAGGATCCATCAGGACTCAGGAAAAGACATGCGCGCACACACGTCACACACAGTGTTTACTCACAGCTGCTGTGTGGGAGGGTTTATTTCCAGAAACAAGAGGAAGGTTTAAAATGTAAGGACCTTAGTCTACCGTTACGTGTCAGGCAGGCTCTGCTTGTTTGTTGTGTTTCTCTCCTCCAGAGGCCTGTACTACGAAGCCGGATTTTGGCTTAGCGAGGTAACTTCAGGGTAAACTCTGGGTTTCCGATCCTACGACGCTGGTTCTCTTCTTACCTGGTAGATCTCCATGGTAACTGATGCTGAATGGCTAACCTGCTCCGGAGCAGGTTAGGTTGCAGGCTAAGAGCTCAACTCAGTGAAAGCACCGCCTGCTGACAAATCAGAGCTCAGTGTGCAGAGTTTAACGCGATCAAGTCATATTACAGGAGAAAGTCGTTTGTTTTGGATTAGGTAAGCCAGGTAACTCAAACATATCCAGGGTATGTTGAGCTGGATTCGTAGTACAGGCCTCTGCTCTTCTCCCCCTTTCTTCACTCCAGGTAATCACAGCTGATCAGTACCTGCCTGGGCACCTCAGACCGACTGCTGATTGGATCCCCTCACCCTCAGCTGGCCTATTAGCAGCCAGAGCCAGTCGTAAAGGAGGCAATCCAGGAAGCCTTCTCGCTCTCTGACCTGTGCCTGCTGATCACTCCAGAGCCTCTGTGAGCTTTGTTACATTTGGTTTGTTTATATATTTATTTGGCAGGGACAGTGCACATTGATTGACATTTCTGTAAATGTGCCAGAGTTAGCCAACAGGCTATTTTTCGTCTGTAGTCCCTGGACAGATGTTGAAAGTCATCCTAAAAACAAAAATTCACTTCAAATAACAGGTAAATACAATCAGTAAAACAACATTCAACAGAGATGCTTATATTATGATAAAAGCATCTATAAAAACATAAAAACTAAACTAAAATACATATTCACAAAGCAGACGGATAGCAACAGGTCAAGGCAGAGCGTTGTAATGTACAGATTGTGTCAGTGTTGACAGAGCTGACTTTCCACTAACCATGTTTTGAAGTTAGATTTAAATAAACTGCAGGTGTTTTGTTCTCTAATCGTTACTGGGATTGAGTTCCACTGTCGTGCAGCTTTAAAAGAAAAAGAAGATTGGCTGAATGAACTCTTCCTTAATGGAACAACGCAGTCTCTTCTTGTTGCAGCTCTTGTTGACCTAGTTACAGGTGTGCGTATGGTGATAAAATGTCTGAGCGGAGGTGAGGTAAGGCCGTGTATTATTTTGTACATGAGGCAATCATTTGCATATCATTACATTTTCCAGCTCAACAAGTTATATTTTGTGAGTATTGGGCAATGATGAGAATGAACTGATTTCTTATCTACTATTTTAAGTGTTTGTTTGTATAATGATTCCAGGGGTTTAAGAGTGGTTGTACGGCATGTGACCAGGTTGTTAAGCAGTATGTGATATGAGATAGAACCATAGAGTGCATGTACATCAGAGCCGCCTCTGTTGACATGCAGTCTCTGGTAAACCTCAAATTGAACAGACTGAATTTGACCCTGTTGCAAACCTTTTTCACCTGAGCCTTAAAATTGAGTCTTGAATCAATTAAGACCCCCAGGTATTTGTACTGTGAGACCACCTGTAGCCTCTCCCCGGACACAAACACATCTGGCTCAACGCAGGAGGACTTGGTTTTGGTGAAGAACATACATACAGTTTTACTGACAGTTAGTTGCAGACAGCATTGCTCCAACCAAGCTGTTACATGAACCATCTTGTTCGTCAGTTCATTAGCCACTTGTGTCAGACTGCCTCCGTGAACATAAATTACAGTATCATCAGCATACATTTGGATGTTTGTGTCAGGACATATCGATGGTCAGTCATTTATATACAATGAAAATAACAATGGACCCAGAATTGACCCTTGTGGGTCACCTGTGGACAGCTGGAGGTTAGATGATTAATTATTCTGTACTCTGACATACTGAGAACGGTTGAACAAATATGATTCTATCCATTTAAGTGTTAGTGTAGAGAAGTTAATGATGGATAGCTTAGATATGAGTTTGTTGTGATTAACAGTGTCAAAGGCCTTCTTTAAGTCGAGAAACACTGCTCCTACAACACCACCTTTATCCATTTTGGATTTGATTTGTTCTGTGAAGAAACAGTTGGCTGTTTCTGTAGAGTATTTGGCCCTAAAGCCAAATTGCATTGGATGCAGAAAAAAAGCACTGTTATTCAGATGGTTCATAATTTGTTCAACTACAAGTTTTTCAATGACTTTTGATATTGTAGGAAGGATACTATTGGCCTGTAGTTATTGGTAGACATTGGATCTCCACCTTTAAAGATTGGGATAACTACAGCCGGCTTCCAGACATGTGGAAACATTCCTTGACAGAAAGAGAGGTTGATGATATTGGCAATAGGATGAGAAAGAGTTGTCTTTGAGCATCCATACCAAATATATCCTTTGCTTTAGATGGTTTAAGGGATTTAATTACTCTTTTAACTTCTGCTTCAGTTGTGTTTCTGAAGCTGAAAGCTGGCTCCATTGTATCAATTGGAAAATGTTCTTGTGCAGTCAGGAGAAAAACACTGTGCAATGTAAGGAACATGTCTGTCTTATAGACAGAGTTAACATGTGACTTGTCCTTCAAATTTACGGAAGTCCGCACAATGGAAATGTGATGTCAACTACCAATGTAAATTCCCCGCCGATGGCACGACAAATGTTACCAACTATGCCTACACACATGCAACCCTTGGGGGTTCTATTTTGTTGTTATTCAGTGTTACCAGGGGCACGAACTTCTGACCGGTGTTCCCTCTTGGTTTAGTCCGTGGGGGAGTGCTTAAGTGTGGGTACACAGGTTCACCTGGTGCACAAGGTTATGGAGGTGGGGGTCTTGCTGGTGCTCAAGTGCCCATATACATCACCCCATGTTCCCATGACTGGTACCCGGCTAAAGAGACACTATTTTGGGGTAAACTGTATCCATGTTGCCCCCTGGTTCTTGTTCCTTGTACCCTGGATGCATGTAGATGGGCCTGGAAGAATGCAATGTGGAGTTCCAATGCAAATCGGCTTAAGTCCAGTCAGGGTCTGGACATGTTGCCATGACTGTTACCCCGGCTAAAGAGACACTATTTCGGGGTAAACTGTATCCATGTTGCCCCCTGGTTCTTGTTCCTTGTACCCTGGATGCATGTAGATGGGCCTGGAAGAATGCAATGTGGAGTTCCAATGCAAATCGGCTTAAGTCCAGTCAGGGTCTGGACATGTTGCCATGACTGTTACCCGGCTAAAGAGACACTATTTCGGGGTAAACTGTATCCATGTTGCCCCCTGGTTCTTGTTCCTTGTACCCTGGATGCATGTAGATGGGCCTGGAAGAATGCAATGTGGAGTTCCAATGCAAATCAGCTTAAGTCCAGTCAGGGTCTGGACATGTTGCCATGACTGGTACCCGCCTTAAGAGACACTATTTCGGGGTAAACTGTATCCATGTTGCCCCCTGGTTCTTCTCTCCTGGTGTCCATTTCATGTATATTTCCTCGTGTCCATTTCATGTACATTTCCTCGTGTCCATTTCATGTACATTTCCTCGTGTCCATTTCATGTACATTTCCTCGTGTCCATTTCATGTACATTTGATGGGGGAGTCACATGTGGATGAAATGGACCCAATTCCCGGAGGTTCCGGGCCGAATTTGGGAGCTCATATGCGGCCTGCCGTGCACCCCCACCCGTGGAAAGCAAAAAAAAGTAAATAAAACGGTCAATTATATCTTAAATTCATCAAAAACTACGTTTTTAAAAATTCTCGAAAAACGGCTAAGTGCCAACGGGTGAGGGGGTCAACCCTTCGGCGCTTCGGGCGGAAGCCCCGGAGACATTTCCACTGACCCGTTGCACTTTTCAACGTAGAGGGGAATTCAGACCTCCCCTCCTCCGTTAACAATTTTCATTCATCTTTTCCAAGCTACCTTCTGCACGAAATCGGAAACCCGGTTTTTGAGAGCACGGCCTATTTCTCATGATGGGGAAATCATGGAGGAATGCGTCCGATGAGTGAGCACTTTGGATCGGATACAATTGTTGCCCGGAGGACCCCCAATCACGGTTCTTACAACACTTTAAGTTTTTGAACTGGCCTCTGGAGGAATGCAAGGGGAGTTTCCACGGAATAACGAGACACTATTTTCGGACACATTTTATCCATTTTAACCCCTTTCTCTGGTTCTTCCAAAAGTTAACTTTAACTTATTTTGCCTCTGGAGGAATGCAAGGGGAGTTGCCAGGGCACTCTACCTGCATTATGAGGCACTATTCCCGGATACATTTGATCCATTTTCACCCCTTTTCTGCGGTTCTTCCAAAAGTTAACTTTAACTTTTTCTAACTCTGGAGGAATGTAGGGTGAGTTGTCAGGGGACTCTACCCGCCTTAGGAGGCACTATTCCCGGATACATGTTATCCATTTTCACCCCTTTTCTATGGTTCTTCCAAAATGTAACTTGAACTTTTTCTGACTCTGGAGGAATGTAGGGTGAGTTGTCAGGGGACTCGACCCGCCTTAGGAGGCACTATTCCCGGATACATTTTATCCATTTTAACCCCTTTCTCTGGTTCTTCCAAAAGTTAACTTTAACTTTTTCTGACTCTGGAGGAATGCAAGGGGAGTTGCCAGGGGACTCTACCTGCATTATGAGGCACTATTTCCGGACACATTTTCACCATTTTCACCCCTTTCTCTGGTTCTTCCAAAAGTTAACTTTAACTTTTTCTGACTCTGGAGGAATGTAGGGTGAGTTGTCAGGGGACTCGACCCGCCTTAGGAGGCACTATTCCCGGATACATTTTATCCATTTTCACCCCTTTCTCTGGTTCTCTGGTTGCATCCGTCTCTGGATCATGGAAGAATGCATCCGCTGCATGAGGACTTTGGATCGGATACAATTGTTGCCTGGATGACCCCCAATCATGGTTCTTACCAAACTTAACGTTTTGAACTGGTCTCCGGAAGAAAGTAAGGGGAGTTGCCAGGGGACTCGACCCGCCTTAGGAGGCACTATTTCACCCACTTTTGGCTCCCGCCTTGCCTGGATGATAGGACCGATAGATGACAGGGATCTCTGCCCACCTAACGAGTGCCTAAATGGGACACCTTTCGCACGATTATGCAAATGGGTTATTTATTGAAAATAAACCGGAGAGATTTGACATGGGGTCTTTCTAGTTCGCTGAGTGCAACTTACTTATTTTCACCTATCCTTCTTTGTCCCCCCCGGTTCTATACATTATACTGGTGACACTTCCCGGTACCGAAATGCTCAGGCATACAAAAATGATGGCGATCGGTTGTCCTATCTGTAATAGTCCCTACCGTGCCCTGAGCAAGCACCTGCTGAGGAACCATAGTGTGCGTAATTTAGTTGAAAGAAGAATTCTGCTGTTGTTGGCGAAAGGACGGATAAACATTAGGCTCCATCCCTGCATTATTGCAGGATGCGAGTACATCGGGACAAGGCTGGACCGCCACTTGTACAGAAACCATGTTGAGCTGTCCCGGCAGGAAATACATGTGGTTTTAACTAAACTAAAAATGAAAGTGGCCACGAAGAAGCTTCATGAACTCAGTTTGACAAACCCCACAGTAGCAATGATTACCTCTTGGG